TTAGGTAATATTTAAAAAATTTACTTTTACTATATAGCCATTTATGACAATATGATACATTTTTTTGTTTATTGTCTTGCCAATAATTAATAGCAAAATACAGTTACTTTTAAAAGGTGGAAAACACAGAATATATTTAAACACACAAACTTTTACATTAAAAATTAAAATAAATATAGTATAATACATAACAACAATAAAACACAAAGCTAACAAAATAATGTAAAAGCRAATAAATAATAACAATTAATAAAAATCTTAAACAAGCATTTATTACTCAAAATAAATTTTAATTCAATACCTTATTAACTGAGTGTGAAAAAGCATCACTTAATATATGAATATCACTATTTGATGTATGTATAGTTGATATTGATAATGAATCTGGAATAACAGTTCTATATAATATTTCAGGTATCTGTCCAGCATTTACGTCTGTGCCATTATTTGATCTTCGAGATGATTTGAATGTAAATGTAATTCTAACAAATAAAATTACAAATTAATGTAAAAATTAATGTAAAAATTACTATCAAAGAACATTGATAATATTATATTACTGTTCATCACTCGTAACACTACACATTCCACTGGAACCACAATCACTTGAAGGACCAGTAATTCTAGCACATGCCACATACCATCGATTTGCCTAAATAAATATAAAAATATTATTATTATTATTATTATTATTATTATTCAAATTAATTAATATTACAAAAATAGCAATAGGTTCATCAAGTAAGACTGGATTTTTTTGTCTAGGAGCACATTCATAAGTAAGTTCATCAGTTTCTGCTAACATCTCGCCATCAGTTTCTCGCTCACCACCTTCCACACCAATGTCATAAATCTACAAGATAAAATTATATTAGTTTGATTAAGTTTCATGTTTCACATAAAATTATATAATTAATAAATTATAAATATTAGATATTTTTACAATATTAGAATAATATGAAGAGGATTTTATTTAACTTAGCTTCTAAAATTACAATACTAGAAAGTTATTAGAGAAGAAAAATTAAAACTGAGTGTGTTGTTTGTTTTAAGTAACAAAATCCAATAATATCTATAAACTATTTTTTCATATAAATATTATATTTAATATGTCATMGTTATATTACTGCTTATAAAAACTATTAATGAATCAATATTACCTTAAGTTTAACTGTATACTCTCCTCTTCCACCAAATAAACCAAAACCAACTAATGCAATGTTACAATCAACTGAGAACCGAATAGCCTCAACTGAGTGTCCAGAATACCCCCAGCCACCACCTAAACCTAAAAATTTACATGATTTAAGAAATTTATAATATTTTAAACCAAATTAATAATTATTAAACATACTTGCAAATCGGTTGATATGTAAAAAATCTTTTTTTGGCTCTACCGTATTTGATGCAACTGGTATATTACTATGAGATGATGCTATACCAATAGGAAACAATGATGAACTTTGGGCAAGAATGTCCATACAAGTTAGTAAATTTACTAAAACTTGAACTCGAGATACTGAAATCCCAGCAGTAGGAGGTAATGCTAATTCATAATTCAACAAGGAACTTGTATCATTATGTTTCCTATAAGCACTATTCACATTATAGCATGTAACTACAACTTTTTCATTTATATCACTAATACTGAAATTAATAAATAGAACAAATAAATATTGTAAAGATTTTATTATTGATAGTTCTAGCATATAAGTTATAACTAGATCACGGATCTATATGGAACTGCATATTTTTTCCCCTTTTCGTATTTTAAGATTGTTGTTAGTAATCTTTACCTCTCCAACTAATTGAGTCATTAACCAATACTATGCATATTAGTTTTTGCATAATATCTTGGTTATCACATCTTATATATCACATTTTCATAGATTATAACATACTTTTAGGTGCAAGCCTATATTATATTAAAAATAAAATATATGTAAAACAGCGCAAGAGTACTATCAAATACCACAAAACAAAAATATGGAGACTTCTTTTGTAATTATAGTTGTACCGTTTATTTTCTATGCTTTTAACTGATATGCTAAAATGGAGCAACTATTATATATTAAAATAATATTGTACCRTTAAAATATTATTTGATTATAATTTTTCTAAAATAAAAGATGTCAAAAGTTAGAAAATTTTATTTTTAAAATATGTGGATGCATTTCCTATGTGAACAAGCAAAACTAATGTTTTTTCTTCTGATGGAACAGAAGGGAAAAAGATGGTTTTTAAAAAATATCAGTAATATCAACATAAGTAAAAAGGTAGACACTAAATAATACAAATAAATTAGTTAATTTTAATGTATTTAAGAATGATAAAAATATATACTTATTAACAAACATTAACATCCATTTAATAATTCATTTGAAGAATAAACTAATTAAGAATAAAAAAGTATTTGTATTATTGACTATACTATTGCTATTTAAAATGTTGAAATGTGTTTATTTGTCCCATAAATGTTACACAACATTTTTTATTTCTACTTTTTCATTTATTAAAATTTAAAATTTTTTAACATTCATTAAATATTATCATGATTTTTACTGATTATTATACATGATTTAATTATTAAGTTTTAGTACGTATACATCCGTGTTCTACTTATAATATTTGAGTTTATACAAGRAGATTCGCCAAGTATGCTCTAAACTGACTTTTTAGAACTTTTTAATATACTTAAATACCAAATTTTTCAAATCTTGAGATTTATTTTATGAAAGAGTGTCCAGAGGAAAATATAAACTTTTTTTTTAATGTGGCCCTCTTTAATACTAGAAATTATTCTACAGATAATTTTTCTGAAAATGCTTACAAATCAAAAACAAAATTTAAAGAAGTAGTCAGGAGTTATTTTAACTTTATGTAACTTTTTGAGTAATAAGTCCAAGATAATAGTGTTGAAAGTTATGGGGCTTTTAAAAATGTTAGTAATTAATATTAATCCATAAACATGTATATTTAATAAAAATGGTATAATAAGTATAATAAATACTAGGTCCAATATTATTTATATTTTGTATTTTTGTAAAACCACTTTCGAGGACTATTATTCTTGGTATAAAATTTTAATAATTAAAAAACTACTAGTTCCAATTTTTAATTAAGTATGATAACATTTACAAAACAAAAATACCCACTTAACAATGTACATTGTACAGTAAAAAGGGAGGTTCTCATTTAAAAACAAGAAATTTGTGACGCCAAATTTAAGATATTGGAATATTGGATATTCAGAATTTGAATAAATTCATTATWAAAGGAAAAAATGGAAGTGAACATACTTGGTGAATCTCTTTATRCTATATAAAGTTTATAGTCTGTATTATAGAAGTTATATTAAATATCTTACTGCCATAAGTTATTATATAACAAGTCAAAGCACCACATTCCAGTATGTTTTTCGTCAAATTGTATTTGATTATKTCCTGAATAACTATTACAAGTGCCGTCTTGTTTATTAATAGCTAAGCATTTATTTGAAGTCATCACCACTGATTATTGGACACGCAATTTAAATATTAAAGAAAAATAGAAGATTAAAAAGAAAGCAATAAGATTAATTAGTTAGTGGTTRAATAAACATCATTAAATTTTAAAATACTTACAAATTGTATCATTGTTGGCAGCAATAGATAAAATTTTACTATTTATTAATGCCTCATCAACTTTTACAATTGTTTGATTGCCACAACACATAACTTCTCTTGCCCTTCTGGTATGAGGCGGATTTATGTCTTCTACGCTCAAAGGTACATGATTGCAYCCACTATCACGACCAAGTTGACTTTTCTGTATTACATAACAAAAATTGTAGTATAGTAAACATTAAATAMATAAAATWATGTCATAAATGTCATATAAATTGCATACCAAATAACTTCCAAAGGTATAAAGTTTACCATCTTTAGATACCAATGCAGTATGATTGCTACCAGCTGACACACTAATAATAGGATGTTTTAGACGAGGTATTTTTAATACAGTTGGACCTTTTCTGCTGAGTGATAAACTACATCCAAGTTGACCACTAGAGTTACTACCAAATGTTATCACTTTCCCATTGCTCAGTAATAATACTATAAAAAAACATATTATAAACATTTTGAATTAAATTAATATATTATGAATTATATTTTATCATAACACATTACCTGTATGATGTAAGCCACAACTAATTTGAATAACTGGGCAGTCTGTTGGTAAAAATATTCGAGCAGGTGGTAAAATAGTCATCCTAGCAGTATCTCTTTCTATATCACTCCCTGGATTGTTAACTGCATCATCTAATGAATTAACAATGTATTAATATAATTAATTCTATTTTAAATTCTATTTTYTTTAAGCTAAAGATTTGAATTTTAAGATATATTTAATACTTAAACACATACCAACAAAACTTCGAGCTATTTTACTGTTATGAGTTTGAAAATGAATGTTTGTATTATTAGCGATTTGTGCGCTGTCAATATCTGCATCCCCAGAAGAATCTGCTTGTACTGAATTAAATTTTTGTCGTTGTTCACGTTTATTCAATCGTTTTTTWAAATGATCTTCAAGTCTTGCATCTAGAGGTGTTTTTGCTTTATCTTTGATAAMAACAAAATTATTAGTTATTTACAAAAATAATAAACCTTCCTCAAAGAACAACTAATAAACCTCCTATACCTCCAATTCCAAATATAACATCAAGGCGCATCATTCCTGCTACATCACCAGCGCCATTTGGTCCAAGCAAAGCTAATTCTGAATTATCTTCAACTTCTCGTGCACATATACGACAGCATCCACATATAGTACACCCAGCATCTCCTTCGCCACAACCGCATTCCCTAAAAAYGGTTTTAAAAAAATGTAACACATAACACTGATATATGACACCAATTATTTAATATAAAAAATATATATGTKATTATTGTACACTTATTCAGTACATTTGAACTTAAACATTGCACAAAATTGATAAAATATATTAAATTCATTAAAAATTGATAAAAGTAGTCAAATCACTATTTTATTTTACTATAAACCATTTAATTGAACTAAAAATAATGATTTCTTATTATAGAACCACAAAAAATGGAAAATTATAACTTATAATATTGTGTCCTATGTAGCATTATATGAAAGAAAATTCTTTGTAAGTAATATTATAATAAAATAATAATAAGTATCATTTAGTTAGTGATGTATACCAAAAGCACTAATAAGTAATTTATTACTAGACGAGTAAATTCATAAGAATACTTGATTTTAAGAATAACTTACTGGCCAGATTTACGATTGGACCGTATACTACTAAGACAGCTATAACTATACCCTGTACATTCACCACAAACCGTGCAAACCATGCAAACATCATGTTTCCAGTTATGTTGTCCTGGTTTACAAGTATCTTCACAAGGTTTATTATCATCAGAGTCATTTTCAAATATACTCTGTTCAACAACTGAACTAATTTGATTWGATGATTCATTATTGATTTCAGGATAATCTATATTAACATATTCATTTATGTCATTATAAAAGTTAAGAAAGAAATAAAAATAATATTTAACTGTTTTTATTAGTTTGAGGAACACATATATCACGTCCACATTGACCTTTATTATTGATCCCAAAACTATAAATATGCCCTTTAGCACTCAACGCAATTGCATGTGCTTTTCCTAAAGCTATCTGAACAATTTTAGCATTCTTTAAATCTTTCACAAGACCTGCAAAAAATAAAATTCAATAAGAGTATTCAAGTTGTAAATATAAATAATTACCAGTATGAATATCACAATAAGTATCATCTTTTCCAAACATATATAAAAGACCATCTTTAGTCACTAATGCAGTTGTACCATTGTTACAAGCTACATCCACGATAAACTGTCCATCTATTTTAGTTATCCTTTTTGGCTTAAGTACTCTTGGCTGCTTTCTGTATCTTCCATTATCACAATCTTCACCACGTCTTGATACTCCTAAGAAATAAGCTGATCCGGTATCGCAAAGCAACACACAGTGTAASCCATCATGACCAGCTGCCACTTTGATGATTTTACATGGATTAGGTAAGCTTAACTCTGACCACACAGACCGATAACAATTCATAGTACTTTGCCCATTAGATTTTGACCATTGCAACGCCTAACAAATAATTATTTAAGAAATATGAGTTTTAACTCCTTATTCATAATTGTTGTACTAACTTTTCCAGACTTCACTGATATAATAAAACAATCCTTTAATGTGGCAACAGAAGACACTTCTTCATCAGTAGCACTGTTAATAGCACTTTCAGCTGTAATAGAATCCCATAGTTCAGAAACACCATATATGCGTACATTACGACGGCTTAATACAAGAGGAACTTCATTAACAAGTTTCCCAGTACTAGGATCAATACTCTTAATCACATAATTGTTCTATTCAAGGGGAAAAAATGTTAATTTTTTTATATATAGTAAACTAGCAAAATACTTACTGCAGATTGATCAAGAAAACATAATCTATCTTTATCATTAAATACAGGTTTACAAGATGTATCCAATATTACTGAAGTATCTAGCTGAACTCGTCCTAATTTTTTGAATGTATCTTTATCTAAAAACTCAATTTCTTGAGTGCTAGTCTGGTTTGTATGATAAACCCTCAAGTATAACATTTTCTAGAAACAGTAGTCAAATAAAAAGAAGTGCATATTGATTAAATTAAATAAACATATTCTACTAACTTGATAAAATCCAAGACAAACATCACTAGAATGTAAAGTAGGACTTGATGAACGAGCTACATTGACATATGGATGTCCACTAACTGTACCACCAAAGCCAGTACCAATTTTATGAAACCCATATTCTGAATAAGTATATAAATAGTCTCCATCACATGCTATTCCTTTGACATCTTATAAAAAAATAAAAAAAAATTAGAAACTGAACTTTTTCATTTCATTAATACTAATTTATAGTTATGTTTAAGTTCAATAAGTACTCTGTAAATAGTTTAAATTTAATGTTATTATTTCAGATGACTTTGGAACTCCATTGGACATCCAATCAGGAGTTTCATAATCCCCATGTGTAAGAACACGGACACATTTTTGCAGACTGGTTAAGACTTTTGGTAACTAAAAACATGCATATTAATAAGTTACTGTCTTTATATTATATGAATATACTTGTCCATAAATCCACTTACAATTATTTTTCTAGGGGATGCATAATCTGGGCACATGATTAGTGTTGTTAAAGTGTTTAATATTTTACCAGTATCTCCTCTAACTATTACTAAACTTATAAGACAAGAACATGAAACTGCTTTAAAATCATAAGTTCCATTATCATAATTTCCAGTTGCCATATCCAATAAAAGTTCATATAATGGATCTATACAATTTGTAATAAGTAATGATTAGWAATAAAAAGTTGGTTAACAATTAACTTTCTTAATCGCTATAAACTTACCTATAACTTCTGATGGTTCTTCTTTTAAGGCTTCTGGAGACTGGTACTGAATAATATCTAATAAGGCCATTAAAGCTTTAGTACATATGTCTGGTGAAGGTACTCTACTTTCTTTAATCAGTTCAAATACACTGCGTAAACCTATGCCTACTACCTAAAAATAACAATAGATATGAGTTTTAAGATACATTCCCTAAAATATTCTTCAACTAACCTTAGGGAGGAAAATTTCTGAACATGGAACAGCCTGAACATTATTTGAAGTTTGTAGCACTCGGTTGAGAGTTTTGAGACATATTGGAGCTGATGACGAGTTCCAGTATGCTTCGTCAGATTTTTTAGCATGTCTATCAAACACAGCATATCGAGCGGCTGATAGCACTGCAAAGGAAGAAGCATTTCCCGATACATACATGGTCCACCCACCATCCTATTAAAATGAAACAAATCATAATTGCACAGTCGAGTACTAAATAATAATAATAATAGCAATAGGTAATAATATTGTTAGACTTACCTTGTACAGTTTTGATCCTTTTTGAGGTTTGTGAGAATTTTTTTTTGCATTTTGTTTCCTAAACAAATCATGGGTAATTGATAATTATGATAATTTACTAAAAGACAAACAACAAATACGTATTGTRGTCGCCAAGTTAAAGAACTCACTTGGGTAGTTCTTGGGCTTCCTGRAAAAATCGCCTGTACAACTGTTCAATACCGTCCACCTCGGGCAACATAGTGACCGATAGTAGTCAAGACATACTCCGTGTACGGCCAGCAGCAAGTCAATCGGACAAATTTATCGTCAGTGAAAGACAATAGTTTACTACGGCCTCCCCGGATCGTATCATCGTAAAATCGTATTGATTTATTTTTACCGGGTTCCCTGTTATCGAATTTCAAACTTGTGTTGATAAACAATGGTGTGCTGAACAGTGGGRGAAAATGATAGTGGAGCTGACCAATCGATTATGGCGGATCGATAACCCTACAGCCGTAGACGCTATCTCTCGAAAAAGTTATAGCTGTTCCCTATTCACACTTACGCGCCATACGCGGCCCAACCATCGAGCTTTTCGAACTAGAGCTCGCTGCCCGCTGTTAGGAAAAAAATTTAAAAATCTGTGGGTCAACTGGGTCATCAAATTTCTATAATTATGCAATTCAAATTATCTAAACATTTTGGAACGAATGCAGAATATTGTTAAGTTTCCATGCGATTTTTTTTCATAAATGTCCTAAACCATATAATATTAATTAAATAGGTAAATAAGTAAATAATGCCTATCTAAAGGTAATTACTTCGTACTCGACAATCAAATTAATTACATTATAATTATTAATTTTACAATGATGACATAAAGATCTAATAAATATGTAAAACTAAATATTCAAATATGACTATATTATGATGACTATATATTTAATAGCCAATGGATAATAAGTAGGCATTTTTACTTAGAGACAATAGTGATGTTTAGAAGGCTGATCCCATAGATATTTTTTACTATTTATGCACTATGATGCCTTACCTACGATTTAACCATGATAAATTAAATTATCATGGATTTAACTATATATTTAAGAACTATAATCATGAACTACGCCATCATAATATTTAACTGCACAATAAGTTTAATGAAAATGATAAACAGAGTTAAATATAATAATTTATTTCCCCTTCTTTAACTAGCAGAGTGGCGCAGTGGAAGCGTGCTGGGCCCATAACCCAGAGGTCCGTGGATCGAAACCACGCTCTGCTAAATAATTTTTTTAATATATTTTCGAAAATCCGTTTCAGGGATCACACTATTTAGTTGTTTACTTAGATCATATATGATCTAAGATTATTTAAGTATCTATCATAAATTATCATGTAAAAGATTAAACTCAACTCTTTTATTACATATATACATAGACATTATTATTTAATTATCATTTACTGTATCTATTATAAACCTATATAGACCAGCTAGCGGTTCCCAAACTTTTAGGATCACGAAACCCTTAAAAAATAATTTGTGTTTTGCAGAACCCTAATGTCTTTAATTCCAACTCAATCCCATTTTTTCTAAAAAAAAACAGTACTACAAAAAATGTTTTAATGATATTGCTAATGATTATTACAATTATGTAGTTATAAGTTTTATTCTGTTCAATTTCAATTACATACGACAAATATTTTATAACGATATTATACTATAATAACTATTATATAATATCTAACTCCCGAGTAGCAAATTTGTAATGCAGAGCATGTGTTTTGAACCTAAACAAATTATTTTTGTCCCCTTGCACTGTGTCTGCACGGTGCTTTAAGCACGGTTCTTCGACACCGACTCTGCATTACAAATTTGCTACTCGGGCTATTATTTAGGTGAACTTTTTTAAAATAATATAAAATGATATTTTTTATATAAATAATCCAAATATAATTTAAAATAATTTTCTCAGTATCACATACATCTGAAGGAACCCTTGAAATAGTCCAGCGAAACCGTAGGGTTCCGCGGAATACACTTAGGGAAACACTGCTTTAGACGACAATCGTAATGAATAGGTTAGGTATGACTGCAAAGTACTAAACGGCAAACATTTTTAAATATGGTTGAAGAAGAAAATATAGACGGCCTTCAATCATTTGAAGTTATACTAGTGCCAGCAGTAACGCTAAAAAAAGCTTAGCGAAAAATTATTAAGTCACTGTCTAATAAAGACAATTCATCCATTGAACTATATATATTGTAGCTTTTGTCCTAATAATTGACTTAAAAATGAATGATGCATATAAAACTTCAACAACAGTACCCAGGGCCGGATTAAAGGGGGGGGCAGAGGGGGCATCTACCCCCGGGCGCAAGATTTTAAAGGCGCAAAGTTTTGAAATATTGTAGATTTAGAGTGAAAAAACTATTAGCGATTACGACAGTGTACACGGCGCGCAAACTCACATAAGCGTTTCCACAAATTTACCGATATCTGAATTACAAGTAATAACTAGTCACAGTGTCCAGGTAATAATAATWATTATTTAACGTCTATATAATATAGATAACATTTCCACCGACAACTGCGACCAATTATTCGTTATTATTATTCAATTATTTTAGGTAGGTTTGCCCCGGGGCGCAAAATATCTTAATCCGGCCCTGACAGTACCCAAGTAATAATAATATATATATAAATCAGGGGTTAAAGTGGGGGGGGACGCAGGAGGACTCAGTCCCCTTACCTCTGATGGCGGTTAAAAAGCGTCCCCTTTAACAAATTAGGATTTTATACATTAGACATTATACATAAAATGATATATGGAACGCTTAAAACTATATGGAGACATTAGTCCCCTCTGGAATTTTTTCCCACTTTAACCTCTGATATAAATTCTATTTTATTAAATTAAATAATTAAAATGAAATACTTAAAATAATTACCTCATAAATAATAAAATAACTATATGTCTATATAGCCAAAACAAAACCAACAAATTCAAAAAAGGTTCAGATGATTTTTTTGAATATATAAGATCAATATAATCTTTGTTCATCTGTAGCATGAAATAAATTTAATGATGGACCAAATACTCTCTTTTTAGTTTCTTTAAAAAATTTGTAAATATAAATTTGTTAATATTTTAAACATTGTAAATCAAGATTTTTAAAAACGATGTGGCTTAAGATGATATATTCAAATTTCTGATATTTTTTGTACTACTTGTGTTCTGTGCAAGCACGTGATTTAGGGGGGGGAGCGATCACTCTGTCCTCCACTAAACACTGTATTGTAGTAGGTAGCTAATAATTAAAATAAAACTCTCAGTTTATGATGTAATTAAACGCTTTGCTTCTACGAAAAAAAGGAATACTGATTTAATATTATATTTTTTCTAACTAACATATTATTATTATTTAAATCTTATTCTTATGAATTTTAAGACTCCGAACTCCGAAGCAAGATAAATTTTATGAAATTATGATATAACACCTGTGAATATCACATTAATATTTTTTATTTTTTTATATATTTATTTAAGGCTTCAAATACAAAGATTTAGTAGCCTACAACGGTTTACATGTCTAGTGGTAGCAGTTAGTTCAAAGAAATTTGATTTTTTACAACACAATAATATTATATACCTACCTAAATATATATAATCATTTATTTTGAAACTTTGTTTAACAATAAAAATGCACCACCTACATTATAATAAATAAGTATAAAGTATACAACGTTGCAAATTTTTTAAGCCTACAGCATTCTGAAAAAGGTTAATTGCAACTATTTACATGTCTAGTTCTGTGGCCATGTAAACTTCCATTTTTCAAATGAGAATGGAGGTTTTTTTACTGCAAATTATTTAGTGGATGGTTTTCCTAAAAATGTTGATGTATCTAAATTAAAGAACTTGAGTTATTATARCTCATATAGATATAATAGCTCCTGAGGTATTATTGTATTAAAATATTTTCAGTAAGGATAATAATCCTAAACAATGGCTTATAAAAAATAAACTATAATATGTAATATTATATGTATTATTTAATATTCTTGGATCATTTTTAAATGTTTAAAATTTTTGCTATGATATCCCAGTTCCACAATAATATCAATTTGCAATGTTCGCAGACGATACTGTTATCTTAACACAACATAAAAATCTTGAAAACTCAATAACAAACTACAAATTTCTTTAGACCAAATTTGCGACTGGTTTACAGAATGGAAACTCGACAATTAAGAGCGWWGCGAAAATATTTACTCTAAAGAGATATATAAATCCAATTCAATTAAAAATCAAGATAAAGATCAATAAATTAAATATCTCGGAGTTTACCTTGATGAAAAATTAACATGGAAAATGCATATAAATAAAAAATTAAACCAAGCGTCCAAGCCTATACACAATTAAAAATCTTATACCCCTAATAAATTACATTTCAACGCTTCATATTAAATGATCACTTCAAATATACACTCAATAATAAGACCATTAATTACATATTCATGTCCAATATGGACAGCCGGCAGTCGCATCCCAAACAAAAATTACAAACGATACAAAACAAATTTCTCAGAATACCTTTTAAATCCCCATAGTATATGCGAAACACACAACTCTACAACGACACTGGAATACCATACCTAACCATATGGATCAATGAACAACTAAAAAAAAATTCATTCGCAATTAAAAACAATAGAATATGTCCTTTACTTCAACAATGGGAAAAGAACCAAAAACCACAGACTATAAAACCATGGGCCATGGCTCCACAAGATGTTTTACTTGAAGCAGTTGAAGCTCAATAAGAGGACTATCCGCAGACTCATCCAGACATAATCAAGCTAAAATGTCCGTAAACTTATTTGTAAACCTTAATTAATTAACTTTATAATATTGTAAAAACATTGTAAAAATACTTGGTGTATTTAAACAATTATAAAAATAAACTAAACTAAAATAAGAATTATCTATCACTATTTGGCTTAACACCTAGACACTATAGATATCTAACTAATATGTACTCAAAAGACTAATTTTAAATTTACGCGGGATTCGTTAAAACCTGACCTAATTGATAACAATGATAACATCGCTAGAAWATCTGAAAATGGGAAATTTTTATGAATATTGAATGCGCAAACTGTGTCTGGGTATCATAAATCATAATAGATTAGAAAATAAAATATTAGAAATAATAGAAATATTAGAAATTTAGAATTAGATTCCGTTTGCTGGCTGCCGCCATCCAAGTCTAGCCAGTAGCTGAAGCGATTAAAGAAGTTAATTTCAATTAAATAATGTGAAGGAAATTTATTACAGTTTGTGTTTAAATATTTTATCAAAACACTTTGAATTTTCACTTTCTAGATAGCACCAGTAATTTAATATTATATTATAATAAACGTTTTTTAAAGTTCATTAATTGTTGGATTAGGAGTGTATTAACAGAATCATAAGAAATCATTAAATTGGTAAGTTTATCAAGACTTCAAAAGCCATTTAGTTATAAATAATAATTACATTTTACTCATTTAAAGTTTAATAGCTTAGGTGATTAATAATTTATATATTTGCATAATATACTTGGGTAAAATATTGGGTTCTTACAGTTGCGAATTCAGAAGGATGGCAAAGGAGACATTCCCCCTCCATCATCATAGTTGGCCTATATTTTAGACTGCATTTTTTTCAACTTTATTGCAGTAGTAGATTTTGTAGGTATTCATATTTCCAGTTTTTATTTTAGGTGATTGTACATCTGATACCAAAATTAGAATATAATAAAATTACCAAAAAATATCCCGATATAGCTATTGTTGTATTGCTGATGTTTTTTTCCAAACATTGCATATTTTCTACAAATACTATCATTTACTGAAAGGAGCTTTTTCTACTCTTCACAGAATGAAAACTTAGTTGTGGTCTAAGATGATTGAAAATCTGCTTAAAAGCCTTTGTTCAATACACGTTAAAAGGGAAATAAATGTAAATAACTTAATACAATCAGTCATAGACCTCATTATCAATAAAGATGAGCGACATTTAGAATTTTTTGCTTAAATCATGAGGTTTAAATATTATGTAGGTTTTGTAAATTGTTTTGTACTTTTACCTCCTTCAAACACTGGTTCCTCCACTGGGTCCCTAAGAAAAGTMCCTATGCAAATTGTGATGCATATAAGTACGTATAACAATAGTTAGTAGACAATATTTTAAATACTAACTACTTAAGAGGACGTCTCACCCGCATGTGTTGTCTCCATCTTACAAGTACGTAACATTGCAAAAACTGTTTTGCGCGGGAAAGAACTGAGAAAGCTACAGTTATAACTAAGAAACGAAATGTTCACCACATAAAAAGGAAAATTTTGTCTGTGCAATATCATTTTATTTTTTCGGATATCAGAACCACAAAAAAGTTATTCATGCTTAAAAAAACACAAAATTAATATATTATAAAACAATAAGAATTTTTTTTGTATAAGTGATATCGAAAAAATAAAAACGATATTGCACARACAAAATTCTCCTTTATATGTGGTGAAAATTGTGTTTCTTAGTTATAACTGTATCTTTCTCGGTTCTTTCCCACAAGAAACAGTTTTTGCAATGTTACGCACTTGTAAGACGGAGACAACAAATTTGGGTGTAACATCCTCTTAAGAGTGATTGTGCAACACTGATTTGGTGTTTGTTTTACCTACAATATATTATCTAAGGATTTAGTTGATTATGCAAAAAATAGAATTTTAATTACTTTTATATTATGTGTGTATTATTCATAGTTAGCAGATACCTGATTCAAACTTCTTTAACATCTTTAAAATTAATTTAAATTCTACTAAAAGATTTTTAACTTTGAAATTTTCACAAACTTTTATCATTTGTAGCTATGTTGAGCATAGTTAAGCATCAGATACTTGCTCGAAAAGGATAGAAATAAATTTGTTATATATATATATATCATGATTGCCAAGGAAATCATGAGGTATTAATATAAATTTTATTTACAGAATAATTATGAGAGAACGAGAGCGTTATAAAGATAAAGGACATGATCGTACTAAAGATAAACATCGAGATCGTTCTAACAGTTTAACTAGAGTACGTAGAGGTAGATCTCGAAGCTCATCACCAAGAGCAAGACGTGAACCACGTGAACATTCAAGAAGTCCACGTCGAGTTCGTTCTCGGAGTATTTCACCTAGGACTAGACGTGATGTACGCAAAAGAAGCCGTTCACGTCAGCGTCATTCAAGATCGAGATCACCTGTAAGACGACATTCAAGAGAGAGACGTCGTTCTAGAAATCGTGATTTAAGAAGATCAAGGTCAAAAACTCCAACAAAAAAAGACAAAAAATACACTAGGTCTGTCCAACATACTGCTCCTAAAGTTACAGAAGAAGATCTGCGTGGGAAAACTGCTGAAGAACAAGAAATGATGAAAATGATGGGATTTTGTAACTTTGACAGTACTCATGGCAAAGAAGTTGACGGCAATAATGTTGGTGATGTTCATGTTATACTTAAACGTAAATACCGACAGTACATGAACCGTAAAGGTGGATTTAATAGACCTCTTGATTTTGTAGCTTGAGTATAATTTTTACTKTTTATTTAAATAAAATGTCAATCGTATGATATTTGACTTATAATAATACATTTTACTTTAAAAAGCCAAAGTTTAATTATGTATGTAATAATTATTCTGATTAAAATGTCCATTGTAAATTAATTTTACTTTTATAAAACAACTTAAACAATATTCCTACTATGTATAGGAAATTAAGCTTTTATTTTTGAGAAAATATTGAACTACCTAAATTAAATTTGCTATAAAAAGTAATATTTTTTCTACAATGCTTTATATATTTATCTAMATCTACTTTAAAACAATATTATTATTTGTTTCTTTAAGATAAAAAAGATTTCCTATGTGTATTTGTATTTGTATTTAAAAAAAATACCAGCAAATAAAATTTTTCACTGATGTCAGTTTGAGCTGTTAAAGGGTTATAGATTTAAATAAATAATTTAACTTATATCTAGGATAATATTGATAAACATATTTTGTATTCATATTTMATTATCACAATAGTCACATCTATGATCTACCAATACCAGATTAGTTAGTAATTACATTTCTTTTGTTTATGATGTTGATCCATTGTTATTTCAGACTAATAACTTAATTTTATTTTAAAAATTCTCCCAAATTTAAGGTAAGGAAGTTGTTTTTAGGACTTTTGGAAATTTATGTTTTCTCATTTCTCAATACTATCTGTGTGAACATCAAACAACCAGAATTCTTCAGTTATGATTTGTAATTATATGATGTCAATTACTATCTTCAGATACTGCTTACCTTGTTAAAACTTAATAATTATTTGTTTCTCAAAACACAATAGCATAGACATATAAATATAGAATGTATGGAGGTCTGAATTAGACCTTCCATTCTGTAAATTTATTTTTTTAGTTATATTTTAAGAAAATATGTTGTGTACTAACCACCAAAAATGTAATAGGCTATGCCCCCTTCCTGTATAAATTTAGCACACTACTCCTATAAACTGTAGTCAAACTTAATTTTTTTTTCCAAAAATTTTAGTCTCTCCATCCTATAAAAAAAAATATTAAGTATAAAATTATGATATTAAGTTATTTGTACATTGTACTTCTTTTAAAAAAAAACTGTTGATACATGATCCAGCAACAAATATTAAAATAATAACTAATATTTTATAACAAAATTAAACATGCAAAATTTGTTCTTCTAAATAGATTGGTATTTTTCTATATTTGAATAATTATATTTGCATTTTCAACCTGAAAGTACTGTGTTTATTATTAACGGATATTAAATTATTAAATTAAATAATTATTTAAAAAAATCACCATTTAGACACAGTAACTCAGTAGGATTTATTTGAAGTTGCATCAATCATATCATGATTAGACATCTCTCATCAGGAGAGTTTATTGTGCATTTGAAATTTGCATCCCCTTTATCAAAGAGTCCCGCATTCATTCAATATTTAATTTTAATGTCAATATATTTTTTTACTACACAAGGTTTAAGTTATARAATGTACACCATTGAAATGTAGTTATATTATAATTAATTTGTTTTTTTTTACTGTTTAATAAATATTAATTTAGCATAAAATTAAATTAACTAAGGAGTAAGCATTTTATAGTTAATATATAAGTAATTATTAAAAACATGTCCCATTTGGATAGGAAAATTATGTCTACTTTTTTTTTTTTTCCTTCTTGAAACCAGGAACGGGTGGGAACTGTTTAGCACAATATGCATGTCTACTATAATAATTAATCTTGCTATAACCAGATTAATTATTTAATTATTAAATTTGCTAGTAACTTATAGGTAATGGAATAGAAGAATAGTTTCTATTGATACTGAATTATTGTTCGATTGGTTCTGCTGTTACTAAGGCATAGTTAAACTGTTGTAATAAAATTATTAATTTTATGCATCTAAGTACAAAAACTAAATTTATTTAATTTGAATAGTTATTTATTAATTATTATTGATAAACATAACTTACAATTATTTAAGATAGGAGTACACGAATTACTCCTACACTACTAACTGTTGATAAAACTGTCAACAATGAATATAGCTGAATAAAATAGTCAAACATATCAAGGTAAAATAAAAACAATTTCTCCAAATAAAATGAAAATAATTTAGGAACGTAGGATTAAACACTGTGAACAATTCTACAAACCCGTTTTAGTTTAACCAGGTAAAAACAAATACACCAATATTGGTTTTATTCATAACCACGATTGGTCTGTTTCAAGTTACTATTAACGAAAACAGAAGGTCCACCTCTACCTCTACGTCCTCTATTGAAATTATTTCCACTTCTGTATTGTTCATCCGAGTTACAATGATGATCATTACGGTTTCTATTTTGATCACTACGGTGAGTTTTGTTATGCTCTCTGAAGTTGTCTTCTTTACTATTATTGTCATTACGGCCTCTATAATTATCAGTTCTAGGTCGATGGTTATGACTGAAGTTTTCAAATTTCTGCGATTGATAAAAATTTTCCCTACCTTCAATTTTTGAATCTTTTGGCTTATTTTCCCAGTCCTAAATAAAACAAAAGTAAAATAAAAGCCACTTAAATATATATATATATAGAAAAAAAATAAACAAACTTTATAATGGTTTTGTTGTGGTGGACGACTATCATTTAAAAATTGAACTGGTCCGATATGATTGTATTTTTTAATGGTAGAATGCGATGATGGAGGAAGATGAGCTGCACTTTTTTTGTTATCCTCTAATTTTTGTAAGTTTTCATAGTGTTGGAARTCATCAAAAATCGAAGTTTCATGTCTATAAGAATGTATTATTCTTAATACTTGTACACCCTGATTATAAGGAACCTCTTGTGTATCTCTAGAATGAGTCACTGGTTTATTTTCATTGTTTTCTAAACGAATATGTCTTAATTGGTTGTTTGGCACATCTTTAACATATATCCATCTAAAAAGAATTAAAAATTAAATCTCATAATCTATTAAACATTGACGATTGTTAAAAATTACCTAACACCGAACTGCCCTTTCCACTTATCTTGACACCATACTGAACTAGAAGAATTATAATCAACAGCTGATATCATTTCTGCTACTCCACAAAAATGCCCAGATCCATTTACTGAGTACAGGAGAAATATTTTTTTTTTATCTGATGAACTAAATGCTTGATCTAATCGTCTATTTCCATGATCTGTAGAGCACCATATCTCATATTTAATTGATCGATGAATATCATCTTCAGAATAAGATTTAATAATAAAAAATCTTGATCCTTCGGGTGGATTAGAATACTCAGCAGGATTATAATGATTTTTCATTTTTAACTCGTCAATTATTTTACGCTTGGTATTTTCTTCTGTTGGAGAATTTATAATCTGTAAAGGAGGTGGCGATGACATGATCATAGTAGGAGGCGGTACATGCCTAATATGATCAGGTGGAGGTATGTGAGTTGGTATTTCTGCCATAGGAGGTGCATTATATGGAGGAACATTTCTATGATCATTCCAGTTTTGAGGTTTTGTTTCCACAACTACAGGAGCTTGAATAAGGGGGACTTGAACCTGTACAACTGGCGGAGGAGGAAGAGGAGGAGGAGGAGGAGGTTTAGCCATAACCTTTGATTCCCAGTGACCATCATTTTTACCAGGTATTAAAGGTTGTGGAGGTATACTTGGACTTTTCTTCTTTGCTACAGAAGTCAATGACATTATGGATTTCACTGGTTGGTTTGGGATAGCTGCCCATGATGATACTTTTTTTTGTTGTATACCACTATTATCTCTATAATCATTAACAGTTAATGCTTGTACATCTTGTTCAATGGATTTTATTTGTTCATTTACTGGAACTCCATACATTTGATCTCCAGCTCTATAATATCCTTCAAATGGTTTTTGAGCAATATAATAGTTGTATCCAGGGGTAGGGGCAGGATGATTGTACTGAGCATTATAAACATTGGGTTGATTATAAGTCTCAGGCGTAGGTAAATATCCTCCAACATAAGTTAACGCTTCAGGTGCATTTGTCCAAGATCGATCACCCATATTATACGGAGGTGTTGGATATTGATAAGGAGCTGGATTTTGATACTGATAATACTGTTCCGGTGTCATAACATTACTATAACCCTGAAATATGTTAATAAAATAATTAAAATCCTCAGTTTAATGTAATACACTATCAAATCAAATATATGTTTAAAATATATATATATGAATTTTAAATAGGTACATATTTTAAGCTTAAGATAAAAATAAAATAACTTTTGATAACTTTTGCTACACAAAAAAGTTATAACTTATAAACCTAGAGTTGTATTTATATTACTAGGTAGCACCTAGTAGGTACATAACAATAATGACTATTACAGTATTACTTACTGGTTGTTGTTGGAGTTGTGGATGCCAAACAGTTTCAAAATGTGCAGCCTCTTTTACTTTGTTGAGATCTTTTGCTCCATCAACTATTATTCAAAATACAAACAATTAATACTGGATATTGGCATATCATAGCTGAAGTATAATATATGAAAGCCAAAAATTACAATATTATTGTCGTTGTCATATTTACCTTGGTGTTCTTGTCCCTTGACGCGCTGAACGAGTACATAGAACATGACAAATAAATACAAAATAATACCGAAATATTATAAATTGTACCAATCGCAACAGCCAGTACCTACGTAAGAATAATGGTTATATTTCACCTGTTCAGAAACGCCGGCTGACATTACGACCGTGTCTATAGCGTAAAAATACTACCACCGTGATTGTCGTAATCGACAATCAATCGAATTCGACCAACACCACGAACGGCGGCAGACTCTCAAGGTGCACTAGGTCGTAAGACTTCTGAGACATTYGACGAATAATAATAAATAAGTCGTGAAACATATACACAACAATGGCGGATTCGGGATTACAGAGAGCCGGAAAACGCATAAACATTCACCGGAGCAGCAAGTACGCAGATAGCCGAATGCCAATATAGGTGGTAATGGTGGTATACATACGAAATGGTATAAGACGAAAACACCAAACAGTAAATAAACAATAAAAACAAACAGAAAAAAATAGTAAACACACAGAAAGATTGATAAGTAGAGGGGGTTAACGAAGAGGAGGGTCGTGGACCGCGGTCATAGAAAAACTGCCGCGGTTGAAGTCGTCGGCAGAGTGCGTGAAGGCACGCGTCCCGCGCTTATGAAATTTAAAAATTATATATTACAGCCGTATAATATATAGTGATTTACTGATGTA